TTAGGTGCCTAGAGTTTGACCTCGCTCTACCTCGATTAGTTTTACTGTGGGTTTGTTTTTTAATAAGCTGAAATCAGAAAGAGAAACATCAAAAACAAAGAGGTGCTAGTGTATCAATTTCCCTCCATTTAATTGTTTGGCAGTTACTCACTGATGATTTTAAATAAGTTAGGCGCAGAGGTTGAAAATTACTGAGTCATTTGGTTTTGACCCAATCGATAGATATATTAACGTGATCGCTTCGATGACTGGTAGGTACTTCCAGGTTGAATCCTATACAGTGTTGTGAGTTTGAATAGCTTAGGAGGTGGTGGTATCTTTTCGTAAGGAATTCTTGACACCTTTGTGCTTGTGTGTATGTGTATGTGAAAGTGGTGTGCATTCAGTAGTATGTACGGATATAAATGTTTTATATTCCAAAATTTGGGTAAGGTCCCGCATCTTTGTATTTTGCTCCTATTATTATTGTTTCCTTTAGTTCCAGAGAAACATAGGGCTTCAGCCATGCGTCTCCATTGCGTTCCGTCCTCTGCTAGAGTCATCACCTGGCTCCAAGTCTGCCCACACGTTTTCATCTCCTCTTCACATGACCTCCTCCAAGTCACCCACCCTCGCTGCTGCTGCTGGATTCAACCCACCCTCGCACTGACGACCAACTCGCCGATTCCCTTTCAGTCGGGTTCCACTCGACCAATGGCTTGTCTAGTGATGTCACTCACTTGATGGTTTGTTTCCTCAGAGTATGTATGACCAGCCAATCCATCTCCATTTCTTCCTGCCTGCCTATTTGTTTCACAATCGGTTCCTGCTGTGTTGGTTGGTTCGCTCATTGCCAGAGATCCCTCTCTGTTGCTGATCGTTTCTGACCGGCCATCTGATCTTGAGTGGTATTGAGCGAAGACGACTAGCTGTTAATGAAGGTCTGTAGTTTGTTTGAGATTGTGTTTATGACGCGCAGTGCTAGTCTCTGATCCATCCGTATATTGAGTAGCACTGACTGACTTCACATTGGAGTTGAAAATCCGGATCTTATTTCCATTTTCATGCTGAGTGCTGTTGGCCTTCACACAGACTTGTTTCTCTGAAAGCTTTTAATTTCATTTGGACTGTCCCTTGTACGAAATAGTGGTCTGAGCCAACGTTTGCTTCTCTTCTTACTTTTGTGTCCAGCAGGCATCGTCTCCACTTCCTTGAGATTGAGATGAAGTCAATTTGATTTTTGGTTCGCCCATCTGGTGACACCCATGTAGCTTTGTGGATATCCTTGTGTTTGTATACGCTGCCACCAATCACTAGTTCATTGAAGGCGCAGAAGTTGGCGAAGAGTTCTCCATTTTCATTCATTTCTTGGAGAGCTCCTCTACGCATGATGAGTTCCCTTCCTGTGTCGTCTGGTCCCAGTTTGGCGTTCATGTCTCCCATTAGTATTTTAATGTCACCAACTGGAGTATTGTCCATTGTTGCCTGTAGTTGTCTGTAAAACTCCTAACGTGTGGATATTTGTGGCTTATCGACTCAGTCACTTGACTTCCGGTAAATGGGTCCGGGCATGTCGAGTATCGTTTCATCTGTAAGGAATAAACCAAATGTGTGTTGTGGTCTGACCAAAATTCACCTAAGTTACTGACAGTTACAAAAATGCCACAATAACAGCAAAAAGACAGTTATCTGCAATAAAACCTGCGGTACTAGTTAGCAATAATAACATATCGAAAACTCAAAATTACCTCGACAATACTGTTAGGCAGCAGCTATACATGTCAGATAAGTTTCCGGTACAAAACATGTAATGTGGAACGAACATTGGTTGACCAACAGCCAACCGTAAGGAGTACCTGAGAATCAAGTAGAACTATTTACAAAAAGGTGGGATGAGAACTCTGTCAGCAAGAATCACTCACCGAAAACTTCCCCCAGAGACAGTCCAAGGTCCCACGGTAAACCTTGACATCATTTAAACAAAATCGTAGTTGTAAAACAACACATTATCAATTTATCACACAATAAATCACAAAGGGAAGTATTAAACTTTTAAGGGTTAAACAGGCACAAAGACAAATAATAGGGGATCTAGTCAGCATAAGATATACAAATGTGAGAATAATGACTTACAGTCTAGGAGGAAAAATGGATTATAATGATCACAAAGTTAGTTGAAACATTCAAGGTAAGTATAAAAATATTCTAATCAGATCATTCAGGAGGGATTGGACTACACCGACTCCTAGATAAGCAATAGGCGGTGAAGTGGTAGAGCACGTTGACCGCTTCACTTACTTAAAAAGTACCATCAGCCCCAACGGGTTGATCTCTGACGAAATCTCAGCTGAATACGCATACAGGGGGCCAGTTTCGCATATGCCAGTTTACGCCGTCTCTGGCTTAGTAGACGTGATATCCGACTGGCTATCGACCAAAGGGCGTGTGTACTGCTCAACAGTCCGCTCCGTCCTCCTTTATGGCTGTGAGCAAGACCTGGCCATTGAGAGTGGAAGACATGAAAATGCTGGCTAGCTGTCTTTGATCATCGATGTCTGCGTTCTATCTCCCGTGTGAAGTGGTGTAATAAGGTGAGCAATACTGAGGCTAGGCGTCGAGTGAGTGCTAGGTAGGTGGGAGGGGAAATCAATCGACGAGACTGTGAATTAGCTACATCGACTGAGATGGTTAGGACATGTGTTACGAATGAATGCCTAGTCATCGCCTTTCTCGACAATAGGCAATGTTAGCTGATATAGGGTCAGGCTGGAAAAGAGCTAGCCAGTGGCGGTGAAACGAAAACATGGCTTCACCAGTCATTGAAATCTACAACAGTTAGTCTAAGCCAGCCAGCCACGTAGGAAGGTGTAGACTGGCTTCCTGACTGGTTGGGGTCCTCGGGATGACGGTAAAATCCAATGGTTGGAAACAATTGATGACATGGCTAGCTCAAAATCGTTCTCAATGGCTGGTCGGTGCAGATGCATCCACTCCTTGTGACTTATGATTTCCAATGAAACTGTTTTGTTCTTCGTTATTACTATTCCTTTGTCTCACACCTCTGTTTACTGTCTCTAATATGCATTTCTCCTGCTTTGTTCTCTTGGTTTGTGTGCTACAAGGAGGGAGTGTGGCGACTTGAACTTGTGCACATATGTGCAAAGTTCTATGTCGAAAACAGACAGGAGGGATTCTACAAACAATCACTCCGTTACACCACCTACTTCAGTCTAGGCAGCTGGGTAGTAGTATCATGTACTCTCTCTCTCATACAAAATTGAAGTTCATAGACCGGTATTGGCCGGCTGAGTTCTAATTAATTAATCAACTAACTCCTAAAAATGTAAATTTAAGATGTGAGAGAAACCTGATTTACGCAAAAACCTTAACTGAACCTATTTACCTGTTGGGTGATTTTCCGATTCGGTGTGAAAAGAAGCTTCTTGACCAAAGTAACTTTCATCATTTTCCAGTTAGTTACTAAGTTTTTAATTATCATTTTAAACCTGTGCTTTATTTGATCTCATAATAAAATGGTTGTTTTTTAAGCTAATATCCGTATCATTTACACTCAGATATATATTGCACAGTCAGTACAGCGACATATAATCAGTCCTCCATCTGTACTCTTTTGATTTCAAACAATTTTTTATTTTTTCGTTTTCAGCACCTCTCTCAGTGTTACACACTGAGTTAACAGTAATTTGATTGAATAACCTGAATCCACCTCTGTTTGCTTATGTGCGTGTGTGTGTGTGTGCGTGCGTGCCTTTTGAACCTTCCCGTTTTAAAATTAAAAGTCAATCTGAACGAAGAATATTCTTTTCAATAATTTCTCTTCAGGTTCTTACAATTATAAAATATAATATTTGTTGTCGTTACAATAAAGGCCAGTTATGCGGCAGATACATTTTTAACGTAGAATAACAGATTAGTTATGGGGTGTCAAAATAAATATATAGGCCGCACGATTAGGCAGGTTCGTCTATGGGTTCGAGAACATTTACCAGCTTGGTTCAGCAGGGGGGAATTAAGTGCATGAAAAGCTCGATCCTGTCACACTTGGTCGATACTGGACATCGCATCTATGCTAACACAGCTCTCAGGGTTATATACCGAATTCCGAAGTCGTTATCACGTACAGTTCGCTTACGTCTTCTACAGATAGCTGAAGCTGTTGCAATGAGATCGACTAAACCGGAACTTTGTATCCAAAGGAACACGTCCAGACACTGTTCCTACCGTGGCCAAACTTGGATTGATGATTCTTCTTCTCACCAAGAGTGTTCCTTCCCCTTAACCCTCTTGCCTTTTTTTTTCCTTTGCTTATTATTACAATTATTATTATTATTATAAATTATTTAAATTAATTATTATTATTATTCGTCATAATTTATGCCCTTCATGCAAACATTCTCTCAATACTATCGAATTTTTCATTTATACTATCCGGACTTATTATTAGTGATATTATCTCTTTTCTCAATATATACCTCCACCTGTTTCATTTCACATATTCGTTATCTCATTATGAACCTCTCATTGCAGTCTTACTATCTCCTGTTTAACACAGACCACTTTGTACTAGCCACTCACCCAGCTGACGCCTTTTATAACCTTGAACTGACTTGTCAATTTTCCTACCCCACACTCTACAAATCTATTATGATTAATATCACCACCATTGTCTCCCGTTTTACAATATTTTGTAATCGAATTCAGCCTAGCACGTTTGTCACACGAATACGACTATTTATTTTGACACCCCATGAGTACTAATCTGTTATTCTACGTTAAAAATGTATCTGCCGCATAACTGGCCTTTATTGTAACAACAACAAATATTATATTTTATAATTGTAAGAACCTGAAGAGGAGAAATTATTGAAAAGAATATTCTTCGTTCAGATTGATTTTTAATTCATAATATGGGAATTTTCCACACTATGAAATCTTTCCGTTTTAATTGCATAATCTCTCCGAACATGTTTTCTCTTTTTTTAAAAAAAACATTTTTTTAGGCTACTTTAACCAGTCCAAGCGTTCTACTACGTTGTGTTGCTGGTGAATGTCTTGGAAGGTTAGCTCAAGTTGTCGGTGAATCAAGCCTCTTAGCTGAATTAGCTCAACAAATTTTTGAACGTTTACGTACAATTCGTAATCCTGTTGCAAGAGCTGGTCATTGTTTAGCTATTGGTTGTCTGCATCGTTATGTTGGTGGTTTAGCGTCTAGACAACATTTAAGCTCAAGTGTTGGTGTTCTTTTGGCTATAGCTCAAGATTCTAGTGTACCAGAAGTTCAAGTATGGGCTTTACATTCTCTTGCATTAGTAGCAGATTCAGGCGGTCCAATATTTAGAGAATATGTTGAACCAAGTTTAAATTTAGTATTACAACTACTGTTGAAAGCACCTAGTGCTATGCATGAAATACAAAGAGGTCTTGGTCGTTTATTTGCTGCTTTAATAACCACTTTAGGACCTGAATTACGTGGTAAGTATCTCCCCTTTTTTCAATGTATGGTTTATATGATTATTATTATTCCTTCGGGTTCCGAGTGGAACATAGGGCTTCAACAACACATCTCTACTTCCTTCTATTCTCTGCCATCCTCTTCATCTGGGTCCAAGGTTGCCCATAATATTTCTCACCTCTTCCTCAAACAACCTCCTCCATGTGTCACCCTCGCACTGACGACCCACTCGTTCCTTCCCATTTGGATGGATTCCACTGAGCGATGGCCTGGTGCGCGATGTCATTCGACGGCTTCCTCAATGTACGCCCGATCCATCTCCACTTTCTCCCACATATTTGTTGGGCGATAGGCTCTTGGTTGGTTTGTTCTCAACCAGAGTTTCTTGTTACTAATTCTTTCTCGCTCGCCATTTGATCTTCAGTGTCGAGCGAAGGCAGCTGTTAGTAAAAGTCTGTAACGGGCTGTTGGAAATCCTTTTCGTGACACGCTGGCCAAGTGCCTGACCCGTATAAAAGAACCGACTTGGTATTTGTGTTGAAATTCGGAATCTTGTTCCTTATGCTGAGTGAGGAAGATTTCCAACTGGTTTCAAGTTAATGAGAGAGTATCTCGCCTTTCCGATTCTGGCTGGTTTTGATATCTTCATCCGTGCCATCTGCCTGTAGATGAAACAATGCTGGCTGCCTAGATAAGTGAAGGAAGTAGACTCTGTCAAATCTCTCGCGTTGATGGTGATTTGTGATGGTTGTTATTGCTGTCAGTTGGTCATCTCTTTTGAATCTATCTAGATCTTCTTGAGTCTTCTTATACGTCCAACGTGTTCCTGTCTTCTCACTCCTCACAGTCTGACGCATGTTGATTGCAGAATTAGGAGTGTTCGTTCCTCAAATCTGGACTTAGTTTACATTGTCGTCTGCAGAAATGATGTGTGTGTGGGTGGTTCAGTGGTAGAACACGGGTCAAACAATTAGGTGGTCTGAGGTTCGATCCCCATGTCATGCACTCCTAAGCCTCACTTAGCCAGTAGTAATCGTGCTAAAGGGGGAAAGGTTGGACGTGAGGCTAGCAATCCCATCCTGTAAAAATAAACACCACTGCTACCGGAACTTCAGAGCTGCAGCTTGAAGCCCTATGTTCTACTCGGAACTTATTATGATTATTATTGTTCCCTTGGGTTCCTAGTGGAACATACGGCTTCAGCTACACGTCTCCACTTGTTTCTGTCTTCTGCTGTACTTTTCACCTGCATCCATGTTAGTCCATACTGTTTCCACTCTTCTTCACACGATCTCCTCCATGTCACCCTTGCACTGACGTCCCACTTACCACTTACCTTTCCGGTTCCACTCGAACGTTGGCCTGACGCGCGATGTCACCCAGCGAGTGTCCTCCTCAGCGTGCCAGTGAGTGTCCAATCCATCTCCACCACTTCTCCTGCATATTTGTTCGGCGATTGGTTCTTGTTTCGTTTGTTTCTTCCCATAGTTTGTTTCTTGTTGGTTCTTGTTGTTTCCGGCGGCCATCTCATCTTGAGTATAGAGCCAGCGAAGACAGTTAGTTAGTTGTTGATAAAGGTGTGCAACAGGCTGTTGGAAATACTCATTCTCTGTGACCCGCCGGTAAGTTTCTGATCCATCCGTATAGAAGAGCTGACTGACTTGACTGACGTTTGTATTGAAAATCCGAATCACTTTGTTGTTGATGTTGAGGAGTGACAGCGGAAGATTTCCAGATTGGTTTCAGGTTGATGAATGTGTTTCTCGCCTTCCCGATTCTCGCTCGATTTGACATCGTCGTCAGTTCCACCTGCCTGTAGTTGAGACAATACTCCCTAGATAAGTGAGTGAATGAAGTGACCTCTTTCAAATCCCTCCCGTTGATGGTGATTGGCGCTGGATGTTGTTGATGCTGTTGTTGTTGTTGTTGGTTGATTGTTTTCATAACCTCCGTCTTGTCTATGTTCACCTGGAGTCAATCCTGTCTTCTCCAGCTGCTTCTTCGACCAGTTTGTCGGTTTTTGCTTGTAAGTCGTCGATTTTGTGTGACATCGAACATAAATCATCCACGCGCGAAATCCAGGTCTTCTAGGTTCTTCACGTTGGTCCAGGATATCCCTGTCTTCTCGTTTCCCCATTGTCTGACGCATAATCCACCACGAAGTCTCTCGTCTCCTACCGTTACAACATATTGTCATTACTAGTCAATAAGTAGCTATTGCATAATATAACCTTGTTTGTATTATGCTGGACCCTTATTGGTTTGTAAACCACTCTTCGTCTGTGTTAAAACTCCATTGTTTAATTTGAAGCCGAGTTAACTCCTTTGAAATACTTGTACATTAAGCTCTATTAATTTCTAGTTAGAGTGAAAATCATTGAAAATGATGGGGACCGATTTCTAACTTAGGTAGATATGATGTGTTGGTGTTTAGGTGTTCTTCTCCTGTGCTCTCACTAGCTATATTTTATATGTACGATGTTTTCATTGTCCTTGTAGTCTCTCTGGGTTCAACATAGAACTTGGTACCCAAGTGCAGCACTTCGAGTTGCCACGTTCCATTTAGCTTACAAAGGCAGACAAGATAAGAAGATGAGTGAAGAGAATCAATAGGGTTTTGACAAGTATAAGAGTGAAACAGGATGAGTAATGGTAGAAAGGAATATGAGACTGAATACATCTGCGTAAGCCATTGACAACGATTTTGAGCCGTGTCACCTATGTACCTTTATAGCCTCTTCTCGTCGATTGATTTTCCCTCTTTGCCCAACACTCTACGCCTAACCTAACGTCAACATTACTTACCTTACCATACCACCTAACGTGAGAAAGAGATCGTAGACATCTATGATCAAAAACAGTCAACCTTTTCATGTCTTCAACTCGTATTGGCCATGTTTCAGAGCCATAGAGAAGGACGGAGCGAGCAGTACAGCTGAGCAGTACACACGTCCCTTGGTTGATAGTCGGATGTCACGCCTACGCCAGAGACGGTGTAAGTTAGCGAAAGCAGCCCGAGCTTTTTGGATCCGTGCTGAGATTTCGTCACCAATCAATCCGTTGGTGCTGATACAACTTCCCAAATAGGTGAAGTGGTCGACATGTTTTATCACTTCACTCACTCTCTATCACTAAGCTAGGAGTTGACGTAGTCCAGTCATTCCTGTAGCAGCATCTTACATTTTACAGGCGCGAATCTCATGCCAAACATACGAAGATTGCAGGTCAAGGTGTTCAGAAGACTCTGCTCTATTTTGTCAGCGTCCTCTCCTAACAGGACTATGTCATCTGCATATTCTAAGTCCATAAGGCTGTTTATACCCTGTTAACAAGTCGATTCCTGAGTCGTTAAGTTCAGTTAAGGATACTTCCATTAGCATATCTATGATGAAGTTAAACAGAAATTGGGAGAGTGGACATCCCTGATGGACACCACTGGTTGTTAACAATTCAGATGACAATTCCCCATAAGCCCTTACACGGCTACGTGAGTTTGAGTAGAGTGCCTTGATTAGTGCTTGTCCTTGTAGACAACATCTTCAGCGTTAATTTCAGTTCAATTATACTAATACTAGTAATAATAATAAGGATAAATATATATATTTCAATAGCTTGATTGAATTTCAGTGCGTGCGTGCGTGTGTGTGTTTATAACATATTCTCCTTCTAGCTGCGCGTGTCTCTCTCTCCTCCCGCCCCCCCCCCTCCAAAAAAAGAGAAATTTGTTACATTCCTTTCACACATTTTATGATATATACTAATGGATACACATTTCCTGAATAAATCTGATCATTATTTCGTCTCTTTCTCTCTCTCTCTCTTACTCTCTACCTTCCTCCCCCCCTCCATGTCTCTCTGCCTATCTTTTCCTCTTTCCTTTTTCATCATCTCTGTTCAACATTCCATCATTTCAATCATTTAGTGGAATGTAACTTCCTGGGGTACATATATATATATATATATATATATATATAAAGATGTAACTGTATAGTATAGAACACTAAACCAAATTACCAAATCTGTCCGTTATGTAATCAATCCTATGCATGCCTCTCACAGATCTATATCTGTATAGTGTGTGTTTATTTTATGAAATTGAAGAAGAAGAAGAAGAAAAAGAAATGGTGGCAGTAATGATGATAACAACATTCTCTATGCAAAAATTAATAACTTCTTCTATGCACGCACTGTCAATTAGATTATATGTGTTGAAATGTTGGTGACACACTGGTGGTGATGAATAAGGCGGCTGGTTTTATTTTGGCGACGTTAGGTAACTAAGTGCAAATTGTGGGCGGTGCATTAACTAACTACTCTCTCTGGATATTGACGATATCTCCCGTGTGAAGTGGTATAATAAGGTGAGCAATATTCAGGTGAGGCATCGGTCGAGTGCTAGGTAGGTGGGAAGAGAAATCAATCGACAAAACTGTGAAATTACATCGACTGAGATGGTTAGGACATGTGTTACGAATGAATGCCTAGCCATCGCCTTCCTTGACAATGGGCAACGTTAGCTGATATAGGATTGGTCAGGCTGGAAAAGAGCTAGCCAGTGATGGTCAAACCAAAACATGGCTTCATCAGTCAATGAAATCTACAACAGTTAGTTTAAGCCAGCCAGCCAGCCACGTAGGAAGGTGTAGACTGACTTCCTGACTGGTTGGGGTCCTCGGGATGACGGTAAAAATCAATGGTTGGAAACGATTGGTGACATGGCTAGCTCAAAATCGTTCTCAATGGCTGGTCGGTGCAGATGCATCCACTCCTTGTGACTTATGATTTCCAATGAAACTGTTTTGTTCTTCGTTATTACTATTCCTTTGTCTCACACCTCTGTTTACTGTCTTCAATATGCATTTCTTCTATTTTCTTCTGTTGCTTTGTGTGGTACATGGAGGGAGTGTGGCGGCTTGAACTGGTGCACATATGTGTAAAGTTCTATCTCGAAAACAGACAGACGGATACTGACGAAGAGGAAGACGAGAAAACAAGAATGATTTGTGTAGACAATAGGGGAAATTAAGGAGAAAGAGAGAGAGGGAGATAGTTTGTTATTAACAATTATTTGTTCCATCAACTAAACGAAAGGCATATTAATCAAACTTTTTAAACAATAATAATTAAGCTCAACGATCATATTTAGCCAAGTACACAGAGGTGTAGTAGAGACTATAACTTGGCTGGTTGGGCGTCCTCTAGATGCCTGATACTAATGCTTTAAGACTCTTGGCATAGATACATCCCCACTGTTTGTTGTCTTTCAGACTCATTAAATCTCCATGTTTTTCTATGTTATTGTTCTTTCTCCCACATTAGAGTTCTTTTGAATTTCCTTTTTTTACACCTTTGTGTTCTACATGAAGTGTGGTAAGGTGAACAACGGCTACACTTCTGTGCAAAGTTCTGCGTTGAAACTCAACCAGTCAGATGTTGTAAGCCTGCTTAATGAGTCAGTCAATAAGTATGGTTATTCATAACACAATGATTAGATGACGAAATTGTGTTGTATTATTCGTCCCTTGGGTACCTTTAGGTAGAGCATAGAGTTTCAGGAACATATACCTGTTGTATTCTATCCTCTGTTGTTGTTGTTGTTTTTCTAACTGAATCCATAACTCTACATCACACCTAACTCGTCGTTTCCTATTCGGGTTCCACGAGTTTCGTAGCAGACTTGATATGTTCTGTTCTGATATGTCCTTCGAAGTGAGGACAGGAGTAAGACAAGGCTGTCTACTGTCGCCAATGATTTTCCTGATTGCAGTAGACTGGATAATGCGACAAACAGTGGGCAATGAGGAAACAGGCATAAAATGGACTCACATAAAAAACTTGTAGGATCTGGACTTCGCCGATGATATATATATGTCTGATTTCCAACAAACTGGAAGATATGCAAGCGAAAAGCAACAAGTTGGCAGAAGAAGCATCCGGAGAAGATAGAACTTCCTTCAGGTGAACATTGAGAAAACAGAGGTGATGAAGATTCCTGGCCAACACCAACACCAACACCACCAACAGCAACAACAACAACAGACAATGATAAGCATAAATGGGAGGAACCTGAAAGAAACAACCTCCTTCACCAACCGACCTACCTACCTGAGAAGCATCGTTTCAACTACAAACTACACACCTTCATCAACAGCTAGTTGTCTTCGCTCAATACCACTCAAGATCAGATGGCCGGCCGGCCAGAAGAGATCAGCAACAGAGAGGGATCTCTGGCAATGAGCGAACCAACCAACACAGCAGGAACCGATTGTGAAACAAATAAGCAGGCAGGAAGAAATGGAGATGGATTGGCTGGCTGGCCATACTCTGAGGAAACAAACCATCAAGTGAGTGACATCACTAGACAAGCCATTGCTCGAGTAGCCTCCGAATGAAAGGGAATCGGCGAGTTGGTCGTCAGTTCGAGGGTGGGTGACTTGTAGGAGGTGATGTGAAGAGGAGATGAAAGTGTGTGGGCAGACGTGGAGCCAGGTGAAGACTCTAGGAGAGAACCGAACGCAATGGAGACGCACGGCTGAAGCCCTATGTTTCTCTAGGAATTAAAGGAAATAATAATAATAATTAAGCAAGGGAGTTAGTGATTCTTATCCATTATTCATTGATCAGGATATACCATGCATCAGTTAACATTACAGCGACACATCTTTTCAAACCTCTGGGATTCATGCAACCTCTGCAATCAGTCTTTCTTTATATGAACCAAAACTTTTCTGTAGAACCTCGGTTCTATCAAAAACAATCTTATGTCGCGTTTCCATCAAGTGTAGTACAATTGCTGATTTGTTTTGTGATTTGCTTCTTCAAATTTACAGAGAGTGGTCTTTGAAAGCAGCACTACTTTTGAGTCATTGTTCATGTTCTTTTAAAATTACATCCACCTATCTGGAAGATTTTCCTACATATACAGGATCACAATCACCCCCTCCCGTGATTTTATTTGGTATACGCAATTCCTTTGGTTGTCTTTTTCCATTTTATCCTTAACCTCTACTACTGATTAGTGTAAGGGGTTCGATTTATGAAAATTCACTCTTATGTCATGATTGTTAAGGATTATTGTCTTTATTTCATCCAAAGTTTCTTTGCGATAAGAAATTACACTCCACAGTACAAAGCCAATTCTTATCAACAGATTTTAATGCATCCTTATCTTCACTTTTTAAATATCTTTTCATCAATAATAAAATCTTTAGGATAATTATTTGATTGACTGAACCAATTTTTTGATTCTCTGCTGAACTCTTCTACTCCGATTCTTAGCAAGAGTTACTTGGATGGCAAAAGGATATGGCGAGTTATAATCCAGGTGTGTTTGTCCCAATATGGATAGGCTTGTTGCATTTTTAATTCTATTTTACCACCATCTGGTTGTCTTCCAGCCAAACACTTCAGTAATGCTAAATTGTATGTACCAGATTCAACCTCGTCTAGTGAACAAACCGTTGGAATTTTATCAATCTCAGTTTTACTAAAATGTATACAAATACAATATTATTTATGTCTATAAGTGATTTGTGTTTCGTATGAAGATTTCTTGCTTTCTTTCTTTTATGTGCATTTTCACACTCACACACTAAAACACTGTTGTGTTTCTTCTTTTTTGAAAAAAAATTTCATCTCTAACAGGTACCGGTGCTATTATCACGTCTGTTCGACATTCATGTCTACTGTGTTGTTTAATTATGCGTGATTCACCGGATGCATTGCTACAGGCTGAAGGTGTAGCCTGTCTACAACAATTACACATGTTTGCACCAATGCATGTTAAATTAGCCGGTTTAGTGCCTGAATTACAGGTTAGTTAATTTTTTATTAATATTCTCTTATCATTATCATGTATGCTATAAAATAAATCTACTTTGTGTATTGTCGATTTTCTGGATTACTAATGAAAATGTGAAGCAAACAGAGTCAAATATTTGTTATATGAAAATTATTTTTGATTAGTCTGTCTGCTTTATATATATCGATGGTTATGGTTCCGTTACATGTGAATTACAACAATGTGCTCTTATTTATCTTCTTCACTATTCATATTGTTATTATTATTGCTTCCTTTAATTCCTAGAGGAACATAGGGCTTCAGCCGTGCGTCTCCATTGCGTTCGGTTCTCTGCTAGAGTCTTCACCTGGCTCCATGTCTGCCCACACGCTTTCATCTCCTCTTCACATGACCTCCTCCAAGTCACTCACCCTCAAACTGACGACCAACTCTCCGCTTCCCATTCATTCGGGTTCCACTCGAGTAATGGCTTGTCTAGTGATGTCACTCACTTGATGGTTTGTTTCCTCAGAGTATGGCCAACCAATCCATCTCCATTTCTTCCTCCCTGCCTATTTGTTTCACAATCGGTTCCTGCTGTGTTGGTTGGTTCACTCATTGACAGAGATCCCTCTCTGTTGCTGATCTCTTCTGGCCGGCCGGCCATCTGATCTTGAGTGGTACTGAGCGAAGACAACTAGCTGTTGATGAAGGTGTGTAGTTTGTTTGAGATGGTCTTTATGACGCGCAGTGCAGTGCAAGCCTCTGATCCATCCGTATAGTGAGTAGCACTGACTGACTTCACATTGGAGTTGAAAATCCGGATCTTATTTTCGTTTTTATGCTGAGTGTTGTTGACCTCCACACAGACTTGAGAGTAGTGAAAGCTTGTCTTGCTTTTCCGATCCTCGCTGCTTTGATATCCCCGTCAGTTCCGTTCGCCTGTAGTTGAAATGATGCTTCCCAGGTAGGTCGGTTGGTGAAGGAGGTTGTTTCTTTCAGGTTCCTCCCATTTATGCTGATCGTTCATATAATTTATCAGTTTATTTGCATAATCCTTATTTATACAAGTTTGACCACGGATTCTGATATCAGTCAGAGAATCATTGGAAACCAACCAGGGAGTACTGGACAGCCAGCTGTTTCACCCTAGTGCTTGGGAATCATCGGCAGTACGCTCCTACCACAGGTAGGTTCGAAGCCAAGACTTTCCGGTGACAAGCAAGCAATCTCGTATACCATTCAGCCACTGGGACCCGATTCAATGGCCAACCCACGAATTCTAAATGGTTAATATTAGATGGTTGGAAGCAATCGGCAAGAAGCCTTGAACAAATGTTTCTAATAACAGTAGTTCAAAGTGCACTGACATGGCGAGCTACTTAGAATGGTGGCCACATTGCAAAGTTAACTGGTAGAATTCAGTCTGCACCAAACAAAGGACTAGACACATCACACTAGTTACTAGTGGCCAATCAAAATATATACATTTCAACTCTTATATTCTAGTAACTATTTATATCCTCCTTTGTTTTCAGTAACAATTTTTCAATAATGATACATTTTTCTCGAATGGAAGCGAAAAATTTCGAGGCTACTGGAGCTAGTGATAGATAATTGCCTGGGAAATTGTGTTCATTTCAGTGTTAAGCACCTAAAGATAGGAAATTAAATATGTATAATGATTATCGTTGGTGTTATATAAGTATAGGACATAATTGTTGTTTGTTTATCTCCCTCATCAACCATTTTTAATCTATATAGATTACGTAATCACCATTCCATAGATGTAAACAACACTTTTTTTCTGTAACTGGTGGTGGAGAGTTCACCCTCCTTTTCTTTTTCTGCCTGATGATGAATGTGTGTTTCTCTCCTTTATTTCGATTGTATATATTTTTTTTTGAATTTTTTTTGGATTACATTTTGATTCCACACTATATTTTTTGGTACAGGTATGGAATTTTCAGCATGTGATATCGGTAGCCCAAATTTTGCAGGCCGACCATAGATAGATATAAGGTGTGCGTTGGCAGGGGATCGAACCCCGAACTATGTGTGTGGTCGGCGAGAGACATAACCGCTGTGCCCACCGACGCACATTTAAAAAAGCTACTCTCATACTACTGATTTCAGAGTTCTGTTATTACATAGATGGAATTTTGGAAATTCTTTAGATTTGTTAAACCACGAAAAATACCCATTTATTCAAAAGTAAAAACACAGTTTTGTTTTGTTCAGCGAAGAAATTTCTTTTCAACGACTTCATTTTCAAGCTGTACAGTCGTATTTATATTACAGAAAAAGGTTATTAAGTGGCACTAAATAATTGCTCAGTCGATATACATGTATATAAGTGATAAGAATAACGATAATTAAAATGTTATAAGGGGTAGAGTTGAAGTGGATAAATTACAAAATTATTCAATTCACTTATGAAACAATCTTTAATAATTTTGTAATTTATCCACTTCAACTCTACCCCTTATAACATTTTAATTATCGTTATTCTTATCACTTATATACATGTATATCGACTGAGCAATTATTTAGTGCCACTTAATAACCTTTTTCTGTAATATAAATACGACTGTACAGCTTGAAAATGAAGTCGTTGAAAAGAAATTTCTTCGCTGAACAAAAAACTGAGATTTGTAAAAGCTTATCCATTTTATGTAATGATTTATACTGAAAATATCTTTAGATAAAGCAATAAGAAGACGTAATTAGTCAGTGATAAGTCTTGTTCTGCCACCTCAATTTTAAATCGAATGAATGAAGTCCAGAATAGCATATCACTTACATCTGTAGAAGAGGAAGATAACTGTTTATCTTTCCTAGACATATTGCTTAGTCGACAGCTTGATGGGTCAATAGAAAGATCTATTTATAGAAAACCTACCTGGACAGGACAGTATCTTAATTATCACAGTTTTTGCCCTATTCGGTACAAAAGAGCCTTAGTAAGCTGCCTCTTCAGTAGAATCCAACGAATATGCACTGAAGACACACTTGATGAAGAAGAAAGAAAGTTGACACAAACTCTGGTTGATAACAATTATCCAGACAAGTTCATCAGGAGATATAAAGTGGTCAGTGGAAGATCAAGACCCACTCTCCAACTTGCCCCTAAGAAAGACGTGTACATCAAGCTACTCTATATGGGGCATCAAAGCAGCTTGATAACCAGACAAAGACTGAACGCTGCTGTCAAAAAGACTTTTTATGCAGCCAATATCATAATAATAGAGAACGTAAAGCCAATATATCTATCTAAGCCCTTCGAACATGAGAAAAATGACGTCACATCCCACTGTATTTACGAATTTGAATGTACGTGTGGACACACATACATAGGGAGGACTCATCGATCTCTGCGAGTAAGGGCTTCAGAGCATATTCCTAAATGGCTCCAGAAACAAATGGAATCTTCAGAACCTATTAACGGTGAGAACAGGAGACCTAGCTCTTCTATTGCGAAACATATTTTAGAGACAGGACATAAAATTGACGTTAACAGATCTTTTAAACCTATCTATTAAACGTGTTTGGGGCGTATCCTAAAGTTTGTGGAAGCCCTAGCAATTAGAAAGTTTAAGCCACCTTTATGCGTTCAAAAACAATTCGTCATCACATTAAACCTTCCTTGGTAAATTTTGTTTTGTTTTGACACCATAGCAGATGTACTATTACCTCTGTTATTTGGTTTAGTGGTCTTCATTGTTACTTTGACCTTGAACATGTCCTTTAAACTTGACCTAAGTCTATTTTCTCACCTCTTACCTCTTTAGTAATTTCATAAATACTCCTATGACAAGTCTGTGTATGATCAGATTGTTCGAAATGTGTTGCACAAATATCCACATTACACGATTCAGACAAATTACGTCTTCTTATTTCTTTATCTAAATTCATAAAGGGAACTAATTGTTTTGAAAATATCTTTGCATGAATGATTAGTGATCCACTTTAAATCAAGTCTTGGTGATATGAACACTGGTTTATGATTTTATGCCTTTATATATATTGAGCTTACCATTAATGCGTGTTTTCTAAATATGTGATTTGTGTGTGTGTGTGTGTGTGTGTGTGTGTGTGTGTGTGTGGAGTAAGGTGTTATTGACTACCTCAGTCTTGTTTCACCTGATGTGTCATAATGTTTTATAGTCATGTTTCATAGCGATAGTGCGTCGGTGGTTCTACAGTAAGATGCTCGCCAACAACCACTCACATGGCCCAGGTTCCGACGCATTCCTAAAGCTCGCTTAGCCGGCAGTAAGGCCGGTAAAGATGGAGAGTGGGAGTCAGGCTAGCGAACCCTTCCCGTGAAAATAAAAACACCACTGCTACCTAAACTTCAAAACTTTAGCTTGAGGCCCTATGTTCCACTGGGAAAGTAAAGGAATAAAAGAAAAGAATAATTCAAGTATTGGTTTGTGGAGATTTGGTTGATGGGTTACAGGATTTCACCATGAGCTGACATTGGCTAGAGAACCATTGGAAAACCTGAAAGAATTACTGGACATCTGTTTCGTCCTACTTTGGGACTCTTCATAAATACGCACCCACCGCCATGGTTCGGACCTACGACCTTCTGTTTATAAGGCGAGCTCTTAGACCATTGAGCCACTAGGACCCGATCCAATGGCCAGCCCATGAGTTCTAAGTTCTGCCAATTCACGACATAGCGCGACCACTAGTCAATGTCTTCGGCGAGTATTTGCCCTCACACCCGACCTGCTGCATATATATATATATATATATATAAGTCATGATTTTATAAATTCTGGTTCACTGTTAGTTTTATAAGGCTATCAGTCTCATTTAATGAAATTGCAAAATGTCAGGAGAAACAACATCGTTTTGTTGTTTTCTTTTGCTGAATATTGATTTAGAGAAATGCGAGATTTCTATAATTAGTAGTTGATGAATACACAGTTGATTGCCTCTCTCTCTCTCTCTTTATTTCTACCAAGTAAAAAATAAAGTGTTAATGAGGTAATTTGCCTCATAATGGTTTGTTTATTTATCATA